GCCCTGCCTGCCCTGCCTGCCCTGCCTGCCCTGCCTGCCCTGCCTGCCAGCTAGGCCGCGTCCATGACGGTGGCGTTAGCCAGGGAGGCCATTTTTAAGCCCTGTGTTCCCCTGGGTTGGGCAGGCCGAGTTTGGTTAGGCCACCAACATGGCCTGGCCCAGGGAGGGGTGTGAACCCCAAATAAAACATCCGAGTTGCCACAGCTCAGCAGCTGTCCTTGATGAGACTCCTGGCTTAGTGCTGGACTACATCTCCTCTTCACAGGTTACCTCACACTCGTGTTCCCATTATAAACGCACTCTGATCACTGTCTCTGTGGGCCAGTGATCCCAACAAATACTGTCAGTCAGCAAGGCCGTGGTGACAACTCGGTAGCCAGCAGGTGTGGGTGGCTGGAGCAGCTATACTCTTCAGAGGAAGACAGGGGAAGAGGCTTTTTCTTTTCTTTTTTACATAGGCTCCCCTTCCAACTTGGCACTACGTGATTTATAGACCCATGCAGCTCTACAGATATTATTTACAGTATTAATATTTCCTCTGTTACACCTTTAAATCTTTCCAGGCTCAACTTTAGATGATGCTATCTTCATGCTGAAATGAAACTATTAAATTACATCTCAATCTAAGATGAATGACAACTGTCAAATGAGTGACTCAACAGAGATGAAGCAGAAAGCGCCTGAGATTATGTGAGGCTGATTTATAAAGATTGCATAAAGATTTCTATAACCCTAGCTTCATGACTCAGCATATCAGACAGTAATAAGTTACAGTAGGTAGAAATTTATTTCTGCTAGAAGAAGCTAAGGAAAACTTCTCCCTCTTCAAGATCAGCTATCTCCCAGCTAATTCTGCTCAGGCTAAGCCTCCCTGCCAGAAACAATCACAGTGCCTATCCCAGCCTGAAGAAAGCCCCAGATCCTTAATGCTTGATGCTTTGCATTATCTTTCAATAAATTACATTTAAAGAACATTTTTCCTTCATGGTACAACATTGGAGACATTTATGATGCTGTCCATCCTCCAGAGAGACTACATTAAAACATTCTTGTTAAGCCCCCATCTTGAGCAGTCAGATGGTCCTCAAGTGAGGCAGAAGCGGGGTGGGCTTGGCACGGGAGTATGACAGTCTTTAAACTTGCAAAAATGGAAACTTTTTCCTTGCATAGCTTTGCTGGCATTGTCATTTCTGATGTCAGTAACTGCACATTTTCCTGCAGAAGAGGAGATTAATGCAATGTTTAGTGGAACAAAAATGTGATTTGTCTGTGCACCTGGTGGTGCTTATCACTCATATTTAAGGAGGTAAACAATGCAGTCAGGCATGCTCAGCTTTCTGTATTGAAACGTGAAATTCCTCTCTGAATGAAACCAGTTAAGGTCTTTTCAACTCGTGTGGGCATTGATCGTGCCCCAAAGTCATTGTCTAGGATCGAGTCTTGAAAGTGAAACTCCAGTTTGTGAAGTTTTGTGAGTGGTTGAGCACACATGCAGGCATGTTTTCAGGTGCTTGCATGCAAATTGTCTTGAAGTCAACTGAAAATGCAAATTAAAAAGGAGATTAAAGGAGGCTAAATCAAAAGAACAAGAAAGGCAAAATAAAACCCAACAAACTAAGGTATGAAAATGTATAAGAAAAAGCAAATCAGAAATAACAGGAGGAGGAAGAGAGAAGCTGTAAGGAATGAAAAAAGATAGAAGCACAATGCATAAAGCAGGCAAAGACAGACAAAGGAGCAATAATATCAGTCACCAGATGCTTGCACATGACTTTTCACTAGGAACTTAAGTGGGACAGCGAAACTCAGAGATGAATCACAAGATTAAAAAAATGCAACAGTTCCAAGAACATTAATTGTTTTCACATAACTAGTATTTTCCATTCCTGCTTTTCAGGCTAACTGCACAGATCTGTATTATGCGTAATGTTACAGAACCTATAGGTGAGGAACAAAATATTAATGTTAGTACCTATCTAGTATTTTGTGTCTGGATGAATAGCACCAAAATACCTAGATGCCTGATGAATACAAGTACACAATTGATCCTTTAACGATTAATTGCTTTGGTTTTGCTAGCTCAAGTTGCACTTTGATTATGGTTTTACTGTGTAACGTTTGTCTCAGATTTTTTTAATGGTGGGGGTGACAACACATTACTGGTTTTGACATCTGTTGGAGTCATGAAGGAATAGGAGACAGTTTTGAAGTGCCAGTGGTTCTAACACGAATCAAATCAAAGCAATCTCACTGCAAGGCTTCAGGAAATCATAGTCGCTAATTTAAGTCTGGGCGTCTCTGATTTGAATCTAGTAAGATGTTGATGACCAAACATTACTGCAGTTTGCCAGCACCTTTGCAAATAACTGTAATTAATGTTTCTGATTAAAAGAAACTTATAAAATGAATCAAATTATGTTTTTGCTTTTTTCTAGGTAGCTGAGTTATCCTTTAGCTTTAACATTTTTGCACATCTTTAAATTACAAAATGTCATCTGTTAATGATGATCTGTCCTTTGCCAATGCATGCCTTCGGCTGATCCCTTGAATCTTGCAAAAATGTTTTATTTGCTAGCAAGATCATAATTTTGAGGGACAGATGTGAACAAGCCATGTCCCACCACCACATTTGGCATGACAGAGCATCTCAGTAGAGAGGTCACAAATTAAAGAGGACTCAATTCTGACACCATTGCCTGGAAAGCAAAGACCTTTAGTTTCACAGAATTCAGCGGTGTTTAGTGATTTTGGTTAAGTCCATTTTAGAGACCTGCTAGATCTGATTTGGTTTAATTTTTTTATTTTGCTGTCAGTGGGTCAAGCCAGAGGGGTTTTGCCCCCTTTTTTTTCACAGCAGATATTTTTGCCTCTCTCAGGTCATTTTGCAGACCATATCACCAGGGCAGGTTGTGGATTCCCAGCAGAGTCTCAGCTGCAGGAGTGGTGAGTGATAGAAGATAAAGCATTCACACTGCTGGTCTGCATTGTTTGAAAACATCAACGAGTCCATAAAATCTGTGGACATTTAGAACAAAATATCAAAGACAGCCAGGGGGAGTCAAGCAAAAGGCAGAAACTGT